ATTACGGAACAGGTGTTTTGAGCCGTCATTGAAGAAGTTCCCGGTGTAAGAACACATGATTGTCCCCGCCCTCGCGCTCAGCATTGTAACACCTTACCCTTGCTGTTGTTGCAGAATGCAAGGTGTTAATTTAAATTTTCTTGAGACGTATTTCTTTGAGGAGTTTACAAGGCTTATTTTTTTTACCAAATTACTTGATGAGGTAGTTGTTCTGAGGAACTCCCCCAGTCCCCTCGCTCTTGTTTCAGTTCGAAAATCATTCCTTTGCGGGACAACTCTTGCAATCTCTTGATGCTAACAACCCACGGACATACCAATGCGCCGTTAGCTGAAAATCTATCTTGTCAATGTGTACCTGTGCTTTTGGGTAAAAATCTCTTTGAAGTCGCCAGGTGCGCTATTACGGTTTAAACTGAACACTAGTCGTTATCAGTACGAGACTGTCATCATGGGCAGATGTTTAAACCGAAGTGAGCCGATCCCGCCTTATTCCGACGGGTCTGCTGCGATTCGCTCCCTCGCCCTAAGATAAACAACTCCGAGGAGGAAATCCCTCCCGCCTCTGATGAATTATATCTCAAGCGAAATGACATGCTACACGCGACACGAGCTTGGCGCGTGGCAAACCGGGAGACCTATGTACATCTTGAACAAAAGACTTCTCAGAGCAAGTGGGGAAAATATTTTTAAAAACCCGCTCCAGTAGAAACTAGATTTGAAAGTAATTATGTGCAAGCTCTTAGATGTTTTCTGAAGTACATACAGCTTTATTTGAATAACAATTCACTATCTGCCTGTTTGACAAACGGTTGACCCAGTTTGCACTAAACCTAGGTTGCCTCTAGTGAAAAAAGTCGATAGCACTGCGCATGCGTATCTAGTTCAATGTTAGAAGCGAATCTGCGAATTTCACAAATTTTGTTGGTGTCACCCCCGTCTCATCCCATAGTGAGGGTCGTGAATACGGTTGAACGTAGACAGGTGCTGTAACAGCCACGAGTGAATAGGACGATCTTTCTGAAAAACATATCGGGTCCCGACACTGAGCGATGTTACGCTGTGTGGCTAACCATGTCGCACCTATATGCAAATGAGAATCTCGGAGATGGCGCGAAAAATTATTACATTAACGGCACGCGACACTCGTTTACCACTAAAACATTACCGCGAATATTCATTAACACACACAGGTTCCTTAGGAACTGTAAATAAGGAAGTTTTCTCAAATTATATATTACTCATAACCAAGGATACCAACTTTTTAAAGGTAGGTGACACGTATATAAATATTATCTATGTATCTACCTGCATAAAGACACACCTGAATCGGTTTATGGTCATGCACCTGTGCTCTCGTATAATATCCAGAGGTATCATTCAAATATTTTTCCGTCCATATAAGTGCTTTCGCGCCACTCGCTTTTCAAATGGTGACATCTTTTACACTGCAGGTGTAATGTGTTTACACGTGAGATACGGGAAGTCACACTTCTCTGTATTCGCTATGTCACCTTGTCAAAGCTTAATCACTAAGTCTATATGTTGTCCTCAACTTTAATGAATCTCTCTGACCGAGGTGTCAAACTAAGTTCAATATTTTCGCAAACGGACTGTCAAAGGTTTTACCCCTGTCCCTCACTGACAAGCCTCTCACCTGTTACCTCAATATTTTCTCATTAGCGCTACAGGTGAGTCAACTCGGTGTAAGCTTATTATGATGTGCGAGTTCATAAAGACAATGCTGGGGGATGGTGTTTGTTTTGTTTGTCGGTTTATGAACTCCGATATTTGGAAAACTTTATCACTTTGAAGTCGAAACACCTGAACAGGTGTTGACAGCGTTTGAAAACTTGTATTACTTCACAACCATTTGTTTAGCATAGATGGAATAAAACAATCAAATTTGAGTTACCTTTTTATACTTCGGTGTCAAATTTCATCTTAAATGCTTCTTTATGAAAAAGTTGAAGCAAGAAAAGGTTGATATGTACCCGAGTGGAATGTCTTCCTACTTTGTTTATTAATGTATAAATATATGAAAATACAAAAATCCACATTGAAATTGAGATCGTTCCCATTTTACCTTCTAGATTTGAGTTGAAATATGTTTTGTATATTGATTTGATTAATGTTTAGTTTCAAGAAGCGCTGTTCATGATTATGGCATCATCACAATAATAACATGACTCAACAGCATACCTTGTAACCATGGAGAAGAAGTGATGCTATTTTTATCCGACCATTGATGGATATTTTTTCGTTCAATGGGTGCGAGAGTAAGTTTGATACGCGGTGCTATGACGTCACGGGTATTGATGATGGACTCTAATGTTGTGTTAATTTTATATGAAAATGTGATCTTTTTGCACTGCCGAACCTGGAAGGAGTATCCTTTATGAAATAATTATTTTTACCTTTACCTAGTGTGGTAGATATAAGGCAACGATGGTGTGCGTGCATAACTTACTTTATACACTGATATATATTAATGCCTATATAGTTTAACTATACGGTACTTAGCTGTTACGTTCGATTCCCCACATGGCTACAATGTGTGAAGCCCATTCCTGGTGTCCCCCGCTGTGATATTACTGGAACGTTGCTAAAAGCGGCGTAAAACTAAACTCACTCTCTAAGGTGTTACCATAGTGTATCAAGGGGGAAATATTCTTGTATCAAGCAGGAATGAGACCAGTCAACATCACAGTAACATAACATTGTCTTTTAGAAACTATATGTAATGCGTCCCCGTTATCTACACATTTGGTATAGATCTCCTTACACCAGTCTGCGATAATGTTGATGTGACACAGCGACTTGGAAATGGTCGAATATGGACCCAGCAAAACTTAATTTGATGGAATGTGCAAAATTCTTCACTGTAGGGGTCCGATGACACGCCATCAGCGATGTCAGACATTGTAACCATCCAATCCTCTAATCAGACCTTTTGACATGTCCAGCTTACTCGGGACATCTACTGTTATAAATCCAGGGGGAAAGGTTTCTCGGTCCATTGGGAAATGGTAATATACTACTCAGAACAAGTAAAGAACACAACTGGAAAACCGTTGTTGCAAGATAAACGATTGTGAATTGGGTGTTCTCTAACTTCTTTTGGGCAGTGTATTAAACCGTGGTGGACGAAGTTGTAATTGTTGAACAAATTGTGCCTTAAACAGAGTGGAGTTAAATGGAATAGAGGTAAAGCTTATATGAAATAAAGGTAAAATAGGCATATACAAAGTAGAATTGAAGTATTGCTTATATAGAGGTATATAAAATGGCTATTACAAAGTAGAGGTAAAATAGTGCTAATGTAGACAAATACGGTTAATGTAACAGTGGTGAAACACGTACACTTGCTAAGTACAGGTATATCTTATCCAAAGTGTTTACAACAGTTATGGTTAATGTCAAATGGGGATAAAAATGAACGATATAAAGATGCCGAACGTCAGGAAGACAGCCATGTAAGTGTTTGTACAGATTTCAACTGTTGCAGAAAGTCCTACTTATTGAGCCCACCACCCGTCATCTGTGAAGCGTCACATACTGTTACACATAATGTGTGGTGACTTCAACACCCAAATCACCGAGCTCCATCACCCATACACCTGTAGGCTGATTATCATATCCTTACATTTCATCATTAATAATTCATTCAAACCCAGCATCTACCCTCATCTCTTATACTGAGCCCGGTGAACACTTTCTTTCTGTGATTTACGCGCCAAACTTGTAAATGGGCAGGCAAAAAACCTGACTTAGCCTATTAACAGATTTCCATGCCAGGTGTACGTCATGAACGTGTATAATACAAGGCAGACACAGGTTGTCAGCTAGCAGGTGAACACGATAACTGTTCTGTGTAAAGCGCGCCAAAATTCAGGGTCACACGGCCAAAGTTGAGGACTGGAAACGTCCGTCGTATGAAAACAGGTTCACAGTGGGAGGGTATGTGTGTAGAGGAATGGCGGGCCTTTGTGGTGTACCGTAGCTATTGTCGGGGATGTGAGTGATCCCCACATAACTGCACATGGCCAGGTGGGCTGGAGGGGGGACGTCGCCTTGGTGGCACGCGCCCATCTTCCTTATATGGAGGTCCAGTCCACGTGCTAGTGTGGGGGGACAATACAGGCAGGTGCAAGACTGTCGGGGCAGCTGACTGTACAAAGACACCTTTATGGGTAGCCATTCATCAACTACAATGGAGATTGCTCCCGGTTTGATAAGGGCACGCGCCAGTGCCGAAATTTGAATAAAGTATCCTGATAACACTGCTTTAAATCATCGACGAGATTTTTTTAAAACTTCACTTTACAAATGTATTATTTCCAGTAGACGCTGGTCCTATACGATAAAGTCCTGACTTAGAAAGACACATACTCTCTAATGTCCAGCATCATGTCATCCAGATTCAACCGGTAACCGTTAAGGATGTTTACCTGTTGGGGGACAGATGTGCTGCCTTTTGAGGGACAGACAAAGGGAGAGGGGCAGGGGTGAAGGTTCGTACCCAGGGAATATCAGGCGAGGAGGGAGAAGTGCTCGTGCCTCTCTGACTGAAATTACACACCGGATCCATGTGGCCGAATGTGCTGCTTTGTTCCAAGGCGACCAATTGCTTATCTTTCTAGACTCACATAGGGTGCTAATTGGTCAGAGTAATTCTTTCTATCCCCTCATACTATAAGCCAGCCGCAGAACTGTTTGGTCATTCAATCCCTCGACAGCCAACCTATCAGTGTGCTGCAGTCGCGTGGCTGCGCCGGGCATTTTACTCTATACTACAACCATAGTAATTTGACGTAGTAAACGCTTAGGCTACAATACACGCATCCCCCGCCGGTCTCATCTCCTTAGGCGCCACGGCCTGGGTAGGAGGTAGGGTCATTGGTCAGTTTTCGGACCTAGCTGTCATAGTTAGCCGGCCACGCTCCATTGTTAGTGCGTCCACGTGGTCGAGCGCTAATCAGTTGTTTCTCTATATCTTCTAGTGCTCCTGTCAATCAACCTATAGTGGGCGGAGCCAGTCAGCGACAACGAGGCTACTAGGTTCTGGAGCAATAATCAGAAACACAGAAGTAGCAAGCGCGGTCAGTAAACAACAACGATGCGGGCACGGAAAGCGGCAAGCTTTGCCGTACTCTGGACATTACAATTGTTGTCATTAGTGTCCCAGGTGAGATTAAACATTTTACTATAAGTTTATGTACTTCGTTTAACGCCACCTACATTTAATGCCAGTGGCTCAGAATTTTTTCCAGTCTCCAATAGTGTGATTTGTCTCTTGATAACACGTTTTCATTTATGGATCTGCTTTTTGTCTTGTTTTCAGGTACTGTCCAGCGGTAAATTTCAGTTGGAACTTGGACTATTCCGCAATGACCACGGACTTAACAATGTTGGAAATTGTTGCAATGGATATAGATCGGAAGGGATGTGCACCTCCAGCTGTAGAACGTTCTTTAGGATTTGCCTTACACATTTTCAAGCCAATATTGAATTGGATCATGAGTGTACATTCGCATCAAAGGAAACTCCTGTTCTTGGGGATAATACCATTGATTTCAAACGAACGGATATAGCAGAGAAGCTCCAGAACCCTATCAGTTTTCACATCGAGTTTTCATGGCCGGTAAGTTAAAAATATCTTCACTACATTTCCATCTATTTATAGTTGGGAGTACCTGGAATCGTTACGGCATCCCTGTACAGCTTGCTCCTGCTACCAGTGATATAACAGAGGTGTTCCACTTCTGCTGCCTGGAAACACGGATCAGCATCTCCATAGAGAGTTGGTTCGACCACATCATCTGTACGCCTCATCTGGCTATAGGGTCTTTATGTCTACCTTGTATTACCTCCATTTCGTCATCTAACCTTATACCACTATGTTTTGAACACGCATGAAGACCATATAAATCTGTCACATATTTTGCGCGTTAGTCGTAGCTTAATATTGATCTGTACTTGAAAGTCAAAGAGAAAGCAACAGCTTGCAGGTCTTAGTCTGCTGACCGTTGTTTGGGACAGAGTATGCCTTATAGTGCTGCAGTAGGAACATGAGAGTTGTAAGCCAAATGAAGCTAAGGTATAATATAGGTTTCCCTTCTGTTTGCAGGGTTCATTTTCACTTATCGTGGAGGCTTGGCATGATGCAACCCTCAGTGGTCCTGCTACCGGTAAGTCATGTTTACATGTTAGGGAGTATATTTCCCATATCAGAGTTTACCTACTGGATGACTGACTCTCCATCCTATCAGTCCCAATGTGTCTATATCTGCGTCATCTCCGACAGTCAACGCTCTCTAACGGATGGAAAAAGCTCCTACTCTATCACACAGCAAATAGAAAATTCAACATGACACTAGGTTCAAGATACAAATGCTATCACATGGCTCCCCATATGCAACTATGTTGATGGCCTTCCTAAACACTAAGTATGATTGAAGGTGGTATTCACCTATTCTGCAGGGTTTTTGCTACTACTAATGGGCTGTGTGGGGTTGCATTGGGTGTGTAGGGGTGTATGGGGAGTGTAGGGTTCTATTGGGTGTTGGGGTATTTGGTATTATTGGGCTCTGGTGCAGGTATCGTCTGCTGTATCTGCCTCCGTCTTCGCTGTACGGGACCTTCTTTGTCAGGCTGTGATCGACACCAGGCAGGAGTGCTGCCAGGCGCGTGTCTCATTCGTTTTTTTCTCGAACTGAAATTTTATCAGACCATGTTTAAAAATTATGGGACCCGTTTTATGGGCTGTTGATAGATACAGCCCGAGGCTGGGAGAGGCTGTCGCTAGAACAAAGAGAGGAGACCATTGAGTGCGCTGATGTTCCAATAGCCTTCAATTCAAACCTAATCGGGTGGAACTACTAATGATCACGCTATGGCAATGGATGAACAGAACAGTGGACAGAAAGAAACATCTCTTGATGTTGCCGACTTTTAACGATTTACCATAATCGCATTGACTTTATGACAATGACGATTGTTGTGGGTAACTTCGTTAACTGTTCACCTTGGTAACGACGGTCAACAAATTACCATGGTAAATTGACAGTCACGTTATGCTTCTCTGTTACCTATTCGTTAAGGAACAGCATGAGACGCGAGTTAAGAACGTGGTGTAGCCGAAGATTATATTGGGAAGTAACGTTCCGCTGTTATTCATCGTTAATGTTAGAGTTAATGCGTCAGTAACGACAGCGTGGTGCAGAGGTTTGGAGGTTGGTGGTTGTCATCACAGCTCGCGACCCCCACGCTCCAGCAGACGACCAGCGGATATGGGAGGGGCTCTCTTGTGACAGACAGCTGAGGCACGTGGCTAGCTGGTGAGGGGAAGTGGGGAGAGAGGGGAGTCTCCGCTCAGGGGGATCCAGGACATCCCGACACTCGTCCCCTCGTAGCTGTCTGCTGCAGATGTCTGCCATCTGCTATTCATCATCTTTTCTCTTTCACTTCCTCGTTTCACTCAGCTAAACACGCCAGCTAGACTGCCCGCTCGGTCCCAGTCACCAAATATGAATGACTTTCTGACATGCGGACAAGAGGCCAAGATTCTGTCCCTCTGGCATTTACTAAACATTACCTCTTTTTCAAATCAATAAACGATATCCCTGTAACTGACCCAACCTGCTAAGTGTCCCCTGTGTAGTAGCAATGTTAGGGTTGAGCCAGTACGTTCCTTCACTCGCCAACCTGACGTCTAAGCTTGTAGACACATATTTCACCATTCCTGTATCTTCTATGTTACAAATTACTAACTTACTAGATAACGTTTGATTTATCATGGGTCCCCAAGATGTAGGTAGCATTATGGGTTTGGATACTACAGCTTGGTTGGACCGCTAGGTGCTTTGATCCAGGCAACGTTGGTTATCTCGTGTTTTCTCCGTCAATTATCGCCACAACTTATCTCTCCGGGCTGGATCATATCTTAATTAACAGATAGATGGTAATAGGGTGTGTGGCGCATCTAATGAACAGCACGCTCTGGAAGACGTGCGAGAACACAGCCGACAGAGCAGGCGGAGAGACTAGACCCAACAGGGTCTCATCACCCAACCTATTCAAATAGCCTGTGTAAGAGTCGGTCAAATTCAGTTACATTCAAAATGTCTTGCTGACTGACAAACGTGGTTGATCAAATACCTTGATCTGTCATGGTTGTGGCACAAGCGCACCTCACAACATCAAGGAATGATTCGTGATGTAGGAGAAGTGAAAAGGGCAAAATATTTAGCTAGAACAGCTGTTGACATTGGGAAAAAAACCATCTCTTATTGTTGCTGTCGGCAGATGTTGCGAGCTCGCACTATGTCAGCTGCAGAGCGGGAATCGTGAACGTCTTGCGGTATGCAGGGACACACTCCCCACCCCTCCCTCCCCAACACCGTCACGACCCCTCTGCTGCCCCTCCCGACACCGTGACATCTCCCCAGGGGTCCTCATCTATCGACACCATCCCTCCTGACACCGGGATTCCTCTAGTTCTGACACTGAATCAGAACCTCTACTTCTGACACTGAATCAAAACAGCACCACCTCACATATCTTACCAATGTCATAGATTCCATGATCGTGTTCCCCACACCTCTAATGGGGCGTTGCCATGTAATTGCAACACCTATAGATACCCGACAATGCGTCACCTGTTCATAACTAAATGTGTTACCTATATACAAGAACTTTAATCATTGCGGGCTTCAGTGTCATTGGATCATTACCAGGTAACATCTGGTTGTTTGTCTGCAGTATGTATATTTATACATCATATAAACAATATACTGTGCGTATACTTTAGCGTTATTTATCCATATTGCTGTTCAACATCTGTCGGGCTCTATGCTATTGCTACACTCTGCACATGTGGTAAAATACATAGCTGCAACTGTCGAAACTCGACAAATTGTTGAAGCAGGTTGGGGAAGTGGCTTTTGTTATCATACAACTAACATTGTGTTATCTGTTTGTGTTAATATTTCACTTGGGTGGGTTTCATGGCTACACCCCAGTGGTGATGTAAAAATCCTCTCGGCAATCCACCCGGTATGAGAGCTATCTACCCGGGTATGTGTCGGACACCGACCGGCTTATTCGCCATCTGTCATCGCCGACCATGGTACCCCCACCTCCCTCCCCCCTCCAACACTCAAGGCGATTAGCTGCTTCAAAGCTGCACGATATTAGTGTTGTGTGTCATTACAGGTTAAAGTCAGTTATGTTGTCCCTAGTTCCGTGAGCCACTCAGCTGCAACATCTGACACTTCACCGTGGCACCCTCTAACCAGACCTCTATCCCAGTTCTGTTACCATTGATCGTTCGTGCAAAAAAACAACATTGAAAATATTTTTAAATAATCGTTAGACAACAGACTCGGGTCGATCGTCACCAACATCATCGTATCATCGTTTTTACAACTCTCGGTTCTGCAGCCTCTCCGTATCGGGTTGAATCTCATCACCTATAAACGTTGAATGCATTTACACCTGAGTTAAATTTGAGTCCCGCTGATCTGCTATCATAAAGAACGAGTTTCTTTGTTCTGGGGCTTCTCGTTTTTATGTTATCGTGGATAGACGGGTGGCGGTCGGTAGGCCGGTGAGCGGCCGAGTTGAGGGAATGGGCTCACCGCTGACCGTGAGACGCGACAGGTGCGATAGCTGTTCTTGTAAACATCCACTTGGTGCAGCTCGGCTCTGCTGCACACAAAGCTCAGGTGTGGGGCATTGTCCAGGATACAGCACTGCATACCCCAATATGATAATAGGGGCTTGTATAAATCCATTCCTTCACTAGCATTACGAGTAAAGGATATTTTGGTGGGAAAATCTTTGTTGGCAGTGTTGTATTTTTGAAATGTAGGTTATGTTGATAGCTAAACAGGTCATGTGTTCAGATAAGGGAGTAGAACTGGTCTTTGAAATAAGTTTGGTTATCCTTGTCATAGGGCTGTGGCAGAGTTTCTGCGACGGGGTGGTGATGAGAGGGGGGGCTGTGTGTGGGGGGTCGAGTGTCACTACCCCCAGTTTACCCTATAATAATGTAGAGGTAAGGGACAGTCTGTGACTGGCAGGTGACAACGTCAATCTGTGTGGGTACTGATGCTGTTACACCCGATACTCCTTACCTGGGGTGTGTAGCGAGCACACTCGCGTTTCTCACGCTTCCCCCCCAAAGGCCCACAGTCCGTGACCCTGCCTTACAATAGCTTCACCCCATACCTTGCCTAGAGATCATTCAGTTTTATCACGCCGGCCCGTCAGCCCCCTTTCCCCTTCAATGGACAGCCAACTGACCCTCTTATTCCTAGCGTTTGTTAGAATTTTCCCACAGCCCCCTCCGCCGTGGGTATGATATCCCCATCTCGCTGTCACTCCCCCTTGTCCCCCCCTCGCGGCTTTACCTGTACAATGGTGATTTCGGTCCGTCATGCCATTCCATTAATTACCTGGGTTTTGTCCCAGTTCGCTGGTTCTGCAAATGTCTTAAACCACACTGTTTACAGTACTTGAGAGGAGTAATTTAAGCCCACGAGAAGAACAGCATGACAGCGTTTCAAACAAACAGCTGTTGATGGGGGGAAAATGAAATTCGGGGGATTCGTTTTCATGAGAATTTTTACCGTCTTAAAATCCCCATGCATATTAACTACCTGTAAACAGTTGCCTTAATGCTCAAAGACCTGACAGCTACATGCCCGCTCCAAGCCAGCTCTTTAGGTGAAGGAAGGTCAGGTGACTATTCTAAATAAAGTTAGATTTGAACTAACAGGATATTGCTGGCATAAGCACACGTGTATTGAGTACACAGGTACACCAGCAGTGGATCTTCAGGGTCAGGGAACTGGAACTGTTTGACAAGCGATATACAACAGGCCATAGGAAACAAAACCATAACACACCCTGCCTATCTTTCCTAGCTAGAAACAATACTGCCTTCTCAATGCACCCTAGCCAATGTGAATTATTGATAAATATGTAGCGAATATTGCGCCGTGCTCCACGAAAGTAGTTCAGCCATATGTTGCACCATCCATTGAGCCTTCTCTATGACTTGCTCCTATACCCAGCCCAAACGGATCTCCATACTCTCGCTGGCAAGATGTTGAATAACAGCAGCACGTACGTCTTCAGCCTATCTATGCTGTCAGCCAATGTGGTAGCCAGGTTCTGTATGCCTGTAGTAGATCAAGAATATATAACACTTTATCCAGGCGACCAAGATGGGGAGTACAACAGCAGTTTGTCATCCTTACTCTTGTGGAAAATTATAAGGAGACACTATTCTATGTGTGGACGAATAAACTGAAGTCGAAACTACCTCGCTGGTAAACGTGATGGTGCGGCATGTATACAAATGGAAGCGATGACAGGGCATTAACCCACACTGCAATGTAGATGTAGTATTGACTCGTGGTCGAGTCACTGAGTACAGTCCCTAGGATGCCTACATGACTTACTGCTGGTGTACCTTCAACACACAGACAGTGCAGCATCAGTTGGTAGATTTCCATTACGCAATCTAGTAGGGATCTCGGTACTGACGGTACCATAAACACGCCACTAGGCTTCAGGGGACTAGTTTTATTAGGTATAGTTCACCTAGGTTGTTTTTGAGGTATCATTGACAAGTCTTACGTGTTTCTAGCGGTAATTCTCTTCAGAAGGCTATTGATAAGTCCTGACGCGAGCTCTAAGCCCTTGCTGACCTGTCTTTTGTCATGTTCTCAGTTCCCCATTATACCAAGCTCACTTTCTGCCAAGCATCACAGAAGCTACGTAAACGCTGGCTTATTGAAAACATCACGCGATTTAAAAATCGTTATCTCCTAAGCCTATATTGGCGTTATATTGACGCAGAGTAACCTGTTATTGATGAATGTGAGCTTAAATTGACCCTATTCGTTGGACATAAACCGTTGAATACCGGAGAAAGTCACTTTCAACCGGGTTCAAACATCGACCGCTAGTCCTGTATTGACGTATCCCCTATTGGTCGCTGTCCGCGCCTACTTGAACTAGCCACCTGTAATTAACCGACAAGGCTGTCCAAGTATTGATTCCTATGGAAGGTTGTCTTGAGACCAAGATGAGATGACCATTGATCAAAACTGTTGTCATCTTTACCTGTACATGTTTTATTAAAACTAACAGGCAGGAAGGACTATGAGCAATCAAACAATCTCAATCAGTCCTAAAGGGACTTGGAGATTAGCAAACAACATACAACCGTTGTTAGATATGAATTGCTTCTCTTTAACATTCATAGACTTCGTTAATATGTGTATTAGACACTTTATTTGAATGAATGAATTGTTCAGCATGGGTTGCGGTATTGAATTAGTGAGCGTTGAGTTTGGGAGTTGGTGATTGTTTGTGTTCACTGAAATGTAGTTCCCTTCTGACATTTGGAACCAGACGGTATTGTCGTCTGCTTCGTATAGTATTGTCGTCTGCTTCATATAGTATTGTCGTCTGCTTCATTTGCACAAATAGACTACAGACCACGTGGTGTTTATGTATTGTGTATTATGAGGTAAAAACCAGTGTTTAGATTAGATGCAGTGAATGAAACAAATTAACGAAATACATTTGAGAAATGAACCAAATCATTATGCCTAAACAAAACGTCACAGCAATGAAAATATAACAAACTAGCAACATCTTGATAACAAAGATGATCCCTTGACGTGTTTTGTGTTTATTGTTTCTTGTGTATGAATGTTTTTGACAAGTGCTCTCTATTCATTTTACAGGTAGCCCACGTGAGCTGATAGACAGGTTAGCTATACAGAGTTCCTCTCCTATCAATGAAACATGGCGGCGGTTTAACCGGACCACGCAATACACCCAACTAGGCTACGGCTACCGTTATGTCTGCGACGACAACTACTACGGCAGTGGTTGTTCAACCATGTGCCGTCCCAGGGATGACAATTTTGGTCATTTTATGTGCAACGAGAAGGGCGAGAAAGTGTGCCTCAACGGCTGGAAGGGAGATTACTGCGATGAAGGTAGGCATGAGAACGATCTGCTTCAAATAACACCACCAAGTGAATGTTCTGGGTATATTTCAAACTGTTTGAATGCGAACTTGACAAAAGTGCCCTAGGGCTTTGGTGACAGGGGTCAGAAGGTTGGTATTTCTATTTCTTGGGTTTCCTTGAAATGTATATGTGACACTCAGTTAGTCAAAGTGTCTGCACACCTGACAACAGTCGGATTACAATGTCTGGAAGGGACGTTCCGATTGAACAATCGTACACTAGGACTTGTCTCGCAACTTTAATCAAACGCTGCTGATCCAGTTCACGTCTATTGGGTCCCTAATTGCAGTTTGGGTTAATTACGACTTGGCTGCGTCAATCCCCGACACCCCAGGGTGACAGGCACCTGACTACAAAACCATATCCTTTATTCACTGACTTGATCGTAGACAGATACTAATTAGGTGCATAGTTAAAAGCGCCAGGATATTTACAAATCAATCCTTTTATATGGTTGTTTATGATAAACAGGAAGACCAAACACAACTGACTTCAGTTTCCTTAAAGATGTATTTACCAAGCAGTCCGCTCTCGGTGTTGCACGCGCCGGACGGACAGACGATATAATCTAACACACTTCAGATTTTCATATGTTTGTAATACATAGCCTCTATCATACTGGCTCGCCTTGCGTTTCCTTTCCAAAATGCCTGTGTAGGGATGGCGAAACAATTTTCCCTGTGTGTAACTGGGGGACTTAGTGAGTGTGCATTAATTTGCCAAGCCATCTGTTGCACTAAATGAACATCACGCTCACTTCAGCATGAGAGTAAGGGCTTTAGTATTGAAAGTAGCTCAGCATTCAATAAGCCTGCCATTGAAGAGGGCGTCATTCACAGAGCTAGGCATGCTTCCGTCCCTCCCTGTCAGGGTTCGCTCCCTACCTCGTGCGCAGTCTCCCATCTTGCCTGGGGCCCTGCCCCTCCGCACCCCAGTCTGCATGGAGGAACGGGGGTCCCAAACCATATCTAGGTCACGTCTATTGATCCCGTCAGTGTTTGCATTTGCAGCCTTTGCGGTCGATATAGGCATAATTTTTCAAAAGAAAAGTCGCGTGCCGACCGAATTATCATAACAAAAATTGGCGCGTTCTCTTGGCAATAGGCCCGGGAAATCGCACGCTCGGTCGCCGAGTGTATTACCAGTTGTAACAAACGTATTTGGGGGGTGTATGCCCTAAAATGCAAACTTGTCAGCCAGTTTCAAAGCTGATCAAACAGAACTGAACGTGATTGTTGCATATTCAGCGCTCGCTGAAGCGTAACAGGCGTTTTTTCGGAACTGACATATTAACCTTATTGTACAGATCCCTTGTATTCTTACGCTGGTAGTCGGTAATCAGGATAACGAGACATGATATGGGTGCAAACGATCTAAGATAAGACTCTGAGAGCGGGTAACTCTTCTCTGCCGTAAGACATGAACCACTGGTGCCGGCGTCTTGGGCAGCTGACGGACAGTTGTCAGCATTAACAACTGATAGGTGTGTCTATCTGGCAAGGGGAAAAGGAAGTGGGGGAGTACTACACCTGGGCGCTACAAAGTATGGGAGTCGCGATCACCTTAGCGTTACTAGTGTTAGCCGAGGCTAAATAAACAACAAAAAACCACGATGCTTTTAATGTATGTTATATTTGGGATTACACTTTCTTAGTTGTTTTAATGGTTTTAATGAAATACATATATTCCGTTCGTTTACCTATACTCGTATTAATGCATACGGTTGTTGAAGATAATTATAGGCTAGGATAATAGTGGGAGTATAAAGGGTTGTTTGGTAGACATTCCATCAGTATGCAGATGTTGGTCACCCACCTGGACTGGGCAGCTGGTCACCCAGACCACAATAGCCTTTGCGTGTCCGCTCCGACCAGGGTAGTGACACTTGATGATCTCGGCTCTTTCAGTGCCGCTAATTGATAGGAGCAGGACCTCAACAAAGCCCCTACTCGTTGATCTTTTGTTCTCACTTCCCGCCATAACCCAATTGCTTGGAATTATCATCATTCAATCCCTAGGTCCACTCAGCAGCAGATGATAATTTTCTGCAACTAAATAATGTCGAGGAATTAGTTCATGGTCGGGTTAAACTTGGAAGCGTTACTACAACAAAAGACCTTGAGGCGTCTTCTGTCAGTCGCTTGCTAATTTGAACGAGGGCAGATGCAACAGTTTACATGTTGCCGCCAATGCAGTTTTTGATATATTTAAACATTACAAGAGGGGAAAGCATCTCCCTGCTATGTCAGCGAGAATGACGTAGTCTTAGGGCGAATTATGTGGGGTTTTTCAATAAAAAAGATTCCATATTTTTTTTTGAAAGCCGTATAGAAACATAACATCATATCTTTCTTTCTTCCAGCTATCTGCCTGCCTGATTGTCACAAGGATAATGGCTTCTGCGACCAGCCGAATGAATGCGAGTAAGTATCCTTCCGCGTCTGTCTTCAAAAGAGCTATCTCGCCGTGGTCGCTATCAGGTCTATCGGAGCAGGATCGCGTTCCCGAAATACATGCCTGGATAATACCAGCCCTAAACGTTGCATCACATATGGTTAAGGAAACAGCCGGTGAGGACGTAGGCACGCGACTTGAAGTCGGGGAACAGTTGGGGCAGCGTGGGAAAGTTGCGCGTGTTGGTGTAGTGTATCTGATATTCCCCCAAACGTTATCCCTGTGCATCCTCTGCGTTTGAAGTTGCGTCGTCAAGTTCCAATCTCTTCTGTCTGTACCTATTAAAATTCGTGTACCATCTTCTCAAATACGCTAGGCGCGAGCTCCATGTAATTGCAACACAGCATAGTTTTCAGTTTCAAGGCATATATACTAATTAATTGTGTGCAAACATTAGCACAACTTGTCTGGCTGGGTATCCTTGCTGGGCTGTTTTATGGTGATTTGTATGGTCTGCCAGGCATCTTGACCAGTCAGCCGAGCACATCTTGTGCTTAATGTCTTTCGGAAATGAACCAACTAAACGGAAATATTCAAGCAGGGATTCTACTCAACTTTCTGTTAACAGGATTCGACCTTGTTGTATTCGGTAATAAAGTAATCCTTCATTGCAACACAACTGAATTTCTATCGACAAGATTACTGGTACAACCCCTTAACGAAATAAGTAAACGCTTGAATACATTTAACCAAACGCACAATAACGTAAGTATGTATTCTGCTGTTAAAACACATTATCAAAGTCAGTCGGTGTTGGAAGTTAAAAGCTGATTAGCTGAACATGTTTGGTGTACAGAGGCTTAGTGTGATGCAATTAGTTCAATATTTGTTCTTTTTTTCAGATGCCGCATGGGTTTTCAGGGGACCTTTTGTGATCAGTGCATCCCTTATCCTGGGTGCCAACACGGTTCCTGCAAGAAACCATGGGAATGCAACTGCGAAGAGGGCTGGGGCGGCCTCTTTTGCAACCAAGGTGTGTTTCTACAATAGTCTCATATAGCCTCCACAATAATTCTCCCTTCTAACGATACACGTTCTTGGTTTTCTGAAACAATATCTTGTAACACTATCTTGTAACACTTTTCTAGGGTAACGGCAGTTATATTTTCCTTGATTTTCATCAAACGACTATTTAAAAAAACTGACTATTTTTAAAAAAGGTTAATGGATCAAGATTTGGTTGTGTTCTGATGCTGGAACATTACGTTAGGCACCAACCTAACGATTATAAACCTCAGTCGTCGCTGGGACATTATCAAATTATGTAATCTGATGTAAAACGGTGGCAAATATCGACAGTTTGCGTAGCCTATGGCCAATTTGATATCGGCTTCATTTCAACAACTAGAACAAGCCTAGAATATGGCAATACTCCTGGCAGTTAGGTGACGCATTTCACTGGCTGACTAAGGCAGTTTGACATGACATGAAAACATGGCCATACGTCACAGCGCTCATATTCCTATATTGACAAACTTTGTGCTATAATGATCGATAGAGCCGCGACTATCAACACACGGTATTATCAGACGAAACGTGCTGTGGTTTTGTGGTATTATTTGACATGACAGAAGTATTAACTTGCTCAAGAATCAGGGTTACTTACAGAATGGTCGATAACCGAGTTCATGTTTATGGTTCCAATAAAACTTGTTTATGCATGAACGTTTGTAACAAATAAGTGCTTCATTGTAGATCTGAACTACTGCACGCACCACAAGCCGTGCAGGAATGGCGGCACGTGCACCAATACCGGGCAGGGGAGCTACACCTGTGCCTGCCCAACTGGGTACACAGGTACTAACTGTGAGATAGAAATTGACGACTGTGAACGCCAGCCATGCATGAACGGTGGCACATGCAGGGTAAGTTTGAGAAAACAAGTTCCAGATAACATTAAAAATTGGCATTTATGTAAATTTAAAGATTTTATTAAAACTTCCAACAAATATATTTATATGATGTAAGTCTTCATGAAGACACTTTTCTGATCATTTTCTGTGGTTGAGCCGTCACATTTATTGACTGTTTATTTGTTACAGGACTTTGGCACTGGGTTCTTGTGTGACTGTACTCAAGGCTTCTATGGGAAACAGTGTGAGAACACAGCCAACTCCTGTGAGACCAAGCCATGCAGTAATGGAGGAACCTGCCTTGAAGACAAGGAGTCCTACAAGTGTATCTGTCCTCTCGGATATGAAGGCTTTAACTGCGATAATGAGAAGAACGAGTGTGTAGGAAACCCATGCAAAAACGGTATGTTTTTGGTGAATCTTAAATGTCATTCTTCGGATTTCTATGACAATTTCTTAAATGGATGATATTAGGTATGATTAAACTGGAAATTTTCCCTACCAGCATGTGACTAATAATATGTTTGTTCATTTCAGAAGGTCGTTGTATTGACCAGTTGAATGGATTCCGCTGTGTTTGCAATACTGGATACAGTGGTCCGACCTGCGAAGAGAATGAGGACAACTGTGTCCAGAACCCTTGTCTCAACAACGGAACATGTGTGGATGGCTTCAATGACTTCACATGTCGCTGTGTGCCAGGCTTTGTCGGACCCTTGTGTCAGAGCAATGTTGATGACTGCATAGTGCGTCCATGTGCTAATGGTGGTTCTTGCCATGATAGGATCAATGATTTTTCTTGTACCTGTGCTATTGGATTTACTGGAAAAACGTGTGAGATAAATATTGACGAGTGTGAGTCAAGACCTTGCCAGAATGGAGCAAGCTGTATGGACCGTGTTGGCGATTACAACTGTAAATGTATGGAAGGATTCTGGGGCAACAACTGCCAATATGTTGAAGGCCAGACCACACCAAGAGTTGAACAGACCACTCCGACTACTGTTCCTGCTGAAACTACAGAGGTGATTGTGAAGGAGACAACTGAAGGCAACCATACCGCTGTTGTGAACCGTCACAGAGGCAATCTTGAGGATGGACTGACCACAACCCAGCTCCTTATCATCATCTGTGTAGGATCTGGAGTCCCTCTCGTGCTCATCATTGTTCTGGTGACAGTGTGTTTGTGTCGCAAACGTCACCACATGATGCATGAAAATATGGAGATAGAAAGACAACAAAATATTGTCAACAACATCAACAACTCAGTCAAGTGTGTGGACTCTCACATTTTTACAACAATCCCTCAGAGCACGTCAAATAGTTCAAGTATTAAAAATAGCAATGAGGAACAAGACTTAAATAGGAAAAATTCAAAACATCTTTTAGAAAAATCCAATAGCAGACAATTTACTAAAGACTTAAATACACATGATCAGCCACCAACATACTTACCAAAAGACTTAGATTATGATTATGAAAAACCTTCCAGGAGGTTGGACCTGGGTGCATCTTCTCCAGTGGATTCTAGTTCCATTAGGTAAGTTGGACTTAGTTTGAACTTCATTTTATTAATAAACAGCAGTGTTTTCACAGCTGGTTCAACAAAGAAGCTAATGCTTGAATAAGTAAAATATCTTACACTTTGGTTCACCTTGACCAATTTACATGTCAATTCTGTAAATAGCTTTGGTTTGGTTGAGAAGTTGTTCATCGTTTGAAGTCATATATCTAATTCTGAAGAGGCTATTGAATGTTTGTATTTTCATGTTGGTTTGACAAGATATTTAATGTTTCCTCATCTTTTTTTCAGTGACTACAGTCCACGGGACTTAGAAGAAAATATTGCAAAACCTTCCTATTCAGAGACAAACAGAAACTCTATTTTAGTGTTAGAGCCCCCCAATCGCCATTCACATTGTGAGGAAGTGTTGGCCACGGAGGTCTAACAGTGTGAGACAGTGACTCCAGCATACATCAGTGCATTGCTGTAAAATACATACCGCATGATTTGTCAGTGTTATTTAAGTGCCTTTGTTTTGTATAGAGATGCAATATGAACGTTGTACAGTTGAAGAAGCTGCCTGGATGCTGTTGTTCATACGAGATTATTTATAATGTGTTGTTTAACAGACGGCTTCTGAGCCTTGTACAATATTATGCAAAGCTTTGTGGAACAGTGATGTGGACAAAGCCAATAGGCTTGCATTCTGCGATTGAATATGAGGGCATCTTTATGAGAAATTATCTCATTGGACTGGGAGTTTCAATATACATGGGAATGTAATTCCATAAAACCAGTGCAGTGAGGACAAAACTGAGACCAATACCGACGGGTGGACGGACATCGGCACCTTGTAGGCCACTGCCATTTCCACTTCTCATGGACAACGTTCCTTCCCACAATGCATTGCTTCATGCCAACTGATGATTGGTTGAGACTTCTTGGGTGTGAGTCTGATTGGTTGACACTGATCATGTGACTATTCATGAGGACATTACTGCTTCACCATCTTGGGAAGACTGACTATTTCCATGGACTTGTACTGGACACTACCAAACAGTGGATTTGTTCTGATCATCCCTCACAGCAGTTACTTTTGTGCTAGTTCCAGTACTTGGTACATTTTTGTGCAATCTGTTCAAACCAATATAAAAAGTATTTGCCTATAACATGGCCCAATAAGGCAGAGTTGTCCCAGCTCACAGACCTATCTATCTGGCTCTATGTGGTTTTCTAGTCTTGTTAAATTGCGTTACACACAGAGTAATGTACAGATTGTTGCATCGTGATGATGACGATGATAATTATAATAGTTGCCAGGGTCGCTGTCCAAGTGTCGTTGGTACAATTTACGATTCTGTGACGCGATGACAAAATAAGCGTTCACAAATGTTTTTCTGATTTTTATTTTTTTTGAATACCATTAGTTGATTGCTTGTCATAATACCCACACTATAAATACCACTGTAGATTGTGAAGTTATGGCACTTTGACAGCAACCCGCTTGTGTAAAAACTACTGTATAGAATTCTCATGGAAACTGATGTGTTGATTGTAATGATTGACCAAGTTGATTAAGTTATTGATAAATTACCGGTGAGGTCTTCTCACGCACGGTAGTAAGTTGTTGCCATTTTCAAATCAGTTATGACTGTTAAATTAACTATAGTTTGTCTCAAATTTTGGATTATTATAACAGTTGTGGAAAATGCATGTGAACTTGCTTTTGCTTTAAGAAGACAACTTCAATATGTTCAGTGATTTTCTCATTGAGTGTACTGAAAGCTTGAACTAATTTTGTAATAAGATATTTATATATAAGATAAACATGAAATGATTAGAATCTATTTTTGAAATATTTGAAATGTTGTGATGCTTACAAATTTTGATACAAGCTATAGAAAATATAAACTATTTAATTTTATTGGATGGAAATCAAAGCATACCCCACACTGTTTTACAGTAGGCTGAACAAACACAGTGTAACAAAGATAGGGGAGATGGGGTATACAGGTGCCCCCGACCTTTAATACCAAGATGCAGTTATTTATTCTTCCCATCATTCCATTGACTCATCTGGTGGCAAATCCCTGGGTTGCTCATGGCTTCTTTCGATTTTCGATGTCAAAACTTCCCAGTTGTAAAATCTGTTAACCAAGGAAGAAGAAAAAACCGTGTTATTTTGGTGTGTTTGTTATACCTGGTTTTGTTATGACTTTCAGAATAAACCGACATCCAACTTGTTATACCTTCAAAAAGAATTACAATGGAAGTTTTGACCTCCCCATGAGCATATCCACTGAGAGCTTTAACAATGTCAGTTTTCATGCAAAAAAAGGGCGTTTTGTGACATGTCTCTAGTATGCCATGTGACCACGAGTCATGTGACCATCTTTCACTCACTCATCTATCACTGTTCGTTTTCGCCATGCATCATCTACACATTGTGTCTGCACAGCTTTCCCGTATGCCTGTGATGTCTGTATGTACATAATATGTATATTTATAGCAAAAATGAAATTGTATATATGACTGTTATTACTTCTATACTATTAATACTATTGGTATTTCTCGATATCATTAAATAAAGAGGTCACAATCACTTATTTTTTCAAATTTGAAGTCAATGTTGTCTGTTTTCAATATCATCACTGCATGGAGTTCATAATGCCTCTGGTGACAGGCATTCAGAATGGAATCTACTGGAATACAGCCATGTCATGTTTCCAAGGTTACCTGAAGACTAGGTGTAAAATCACCCACACCATCTCAGCCTTATAAGGTGCAATACTCACTGAGTCAGTTAGGAACACCCAGGGAATAAGTCCATAAAATTTTGAAAATTCGCAATTTCACAAGACTGATGTTTATCAACACCTTTGTCAGACATCTTATATCACTGCATAATTATGTCAAAATATGCAATCTTTTCCATCACATACTTAAAGAACTAGGTCATGACAACAACTAGTCAATCTACTGGCACTAGATTCCTATTTGGTTCAAGATGGTAGTTCTGCAGTATATGGGGTTTAACAGAAGAGTTGCACTTTAATAACTAGCCCTGCTTCATTAAGCTTGTAGGCACTCTTCAACAGAAAACATACCTCTTCAAGACCTTTAGGAGAGCAGGGAAAAACAACAATTCAACACAGTGCTTTATTTTCACACATGCTGTGGTTACACCATTTACTAGACTGACAGTGTCAAAAACATGGTGCCTTCTGGGATGTATTCATGCGGGCTCATCTTATTGGTTATTATTTAATGTGCACTGAATTTTAAGCTGCTGTTTGAATTTGGTTGCAGGCTAGGATGCAAGAACGGTTAATGCTTTCAGAATGAATCATAGCTGTATTTGCAAACTTAACATGCAATCTATAAAGTTAATTGAATGAAAGCAATATGAAGGAACTGCGACTGTCAACTGCTGCTGAGAGATGTTCCTTCAGACCGATTCAGACTTGAAAACAGCAAGACAATCCACTGAAAGCCTTTCAGATAATCAAATTACCCTTTAAAAATGTCTGAACACCAATTCCAATTTCCTAACATTTTCACTTGAAAGAGTTCAATCAAATGGAATGTGACAGTTATTTTACGGTTTCAATTAGCAAAGTGACTGGCAATGACTTAGAAGTAAAATTAAATCTGTTTGAACGTTCTCGTAACTGTTGACACGATGAAGCACAGATTGCGGCAATGGTGTACAATGACCGCAGTATTGGTGTTCCTGGTGGCCATTGATTGACCAATCCAAACAAGGACATACTGCATGTTACACATTATCCGAGTGATCATATCAATGATCCAATACCCAATAGACCAGCTTTCAACTTGTGCCAGCCTTACGACCCTGCTCCCAAAATCAATCAACTGGAGGGAATGTCAAGTGCTTTTCTAATGTCTTGGGTGGTTTCTTCTGCCAAGCCAGCAGTGATAAAGAGGGTCAACTAACACTCTAAATCACCACTGATGGACTAATGTCAAATTTTCATTTGTCAAATCTTTTTTAGTGCTTCCTAATAGCTGCAGCTTGAATATAGCATGAGTAAGATACAGGATTAGCTTGGGCTTCTTGGAGAAGGAATATTTCACCACACAAACTCATCAGTGGACTCCCATATTCTAACCTGATTGATCCTATGCATTACAAACACTGCTTCTGGGTTTGATGCTTTAGTTTAAGCTAGTGTAATCAGTGATTATTTAATCGCTGTATTTTCAATGATGAATTTCATGAACAAAACATTGTCATTCTCATCTCACAAACCTTCTGTCTCCTTATGAGAAGACCGCCTCCGTGGTGTAGTGGTTAGAGCGTCCGCAAGATCACGGGTTCGATCCCCGGCCGCGTCATACCAAAAGACGTTAAAATATGGTACTTGTTGGTCCCTGCCTGGCGTTCGGCATTAATGGGTACAACAAGGACTGGTCGGCTCGGAGTCAGTATACTGTGTCTGAGTGGGTATTCATGCTTCACTGCGGCATGGTATCTCAGTGGGCTAGCACTATAAAACCAGCTTAAGTCTGGGCTAGTACAAGCAGCCGCACATACACATGTATACACACGCATGCACGTCATCATATGAGCGAAATATTCTCAAGCACGACATTAAACCCAATTTCACCTCACCTCACCTTACCTTATGAGAAGTATTTTAAGGAATATGAATTTTTTTTTTTCATTTAGAAATTTTGAACATTTGAACATTTATATTATCTTTTCTTTTGAAAAAGGGTGGTAGGGTAGCCAAGAGGTTAAAGCGTTCTCTTGTCCACCTGGGTTTGATTCCCCAAACAGAAAAAATGTGTGAAGTCCATTTTGGGTTTTCCCGCCGTGATATTGCTGGAATATTGCTAAAAGAGGCGTAAAAGTAAACACAATCACTCCTACGAAAAACACTCCTAAATGAACAAGGCTGCTGAGAGTAGCCCTACAAAGTAATCCATATTATAGCACTCTTATATTCATCAAAGTCTGGATGTGGAAATTATTAAGTTGTTCATCTTGAAATCCAAACAGTTGCTTGCACTTATCAGACTATCATATTCTCATATAGTCCCAAAATAACTCTGACATGAAGCCCACACCACAATAATCAGACTGATTCAGGTGTGGGTACCTGGACTGATGACAGGTCTCGGTTGATGGGTTGGTCTGTAGCATCAATGAGAAGACCAATCTGCTTCGGCTGCTCCTGCAATTCAGAGTTTATGATTACAAGCTCTCGTCTAGGAATCTCGCCAAACTTCCATTTCAGTAGGCGGAGGGTAGGGCAAGGTAGTAGGGATGAGGCATAAACAATTATCTTTTTTTGTCGTAGTCGGCATCTTGCGGCTTTTTTCCCTGGGAGGTGTTTTTTCACTGGCTGTGGCTCTGTACTAAGGAGTGCAGCAGGCTTGTGGTGAAAGTGAACTCGGCTTCTGATCACTTTGGGCTATTTGTGCTCTACCTTCATTTCATCTTTAGAACTCCATAGGTGCCAATCCTTTTACATCTTTACCAGACATCTTCAATAAACTTTTATGATTCTTCAAGGCTACAGCCATTTTCTAGTAAATGCTGTTGTCCTACAACACCTTATATAATATCACCTCAAATCAGAGTGCCATGTCAGCAACATGTTTAATATTCTGTATCAGTTTGTAGTGACAGGCCAACAAATATGTGTCATTTTAAAAAAAAGATTACAGTGGGATCTCATTGAGGTTATACATTTTTTCTACCACTTGGATTTGATGGTGAGATGAACGAGGCAACCTAAATTTGATTGAAATTATAGTTAATCTGAGATTCTATTCCATACAGAAGAAAATACATGAAATAAAGATAGCAAATAAAACAAACACAATTATGTTCATCATAAGAATAAGTTTAATAAAAGACCACATATTCAGTTCAAGATTTTATGTCTACAGAATATTGAAGCAGCAATATTCTGGGACACCAGAAATGGGCTTCACACACTACCTGTGTTGGGAAACAAACCAGGGTTTTCATCGTGAGGAGCAAATGCTTTCATCCACTATACAACCCGACATATTGGTGATCATTATGTCTACAGCAATGGCCAACCTCTGGTTGTGTCTAGTCCAATCTAGCTCCACAAGATCTCAACAACAACAGCAATGGCCAGCCTATGTTGGGTTGTGTGGTACAAGGACTTCTGCGGTTCACAGACAAGCCCCAAGTGTAATGTGTTCAGCTTGATTACCAGGAAGCAGTGGTGGATGCCAGCCCACTCTCGTGCATGTTGCATGTAATGACAGTGCAGGTTTACCTGCTGGAGTGAATGGGTGAGTTTAGTTTTTATGATGCTTTTAGCAATATTCCAGCAATATCACGGCCGGAGACACCAGAAATGGGCTTCATACCTTGTACCCATGTGGGGAATAAAACCCAGGTCTTTGGCATGATGAACGAACACTTTAACCATTAGGCTACCCCACCGCCCCCTTACCTGCTGGAGCAGGATGTAGGTGCAGCATCAGCAACAAGTATAACCTTTCTATAGATCCTGGTACTCAGTGATACTCTACGATAAGTGTCACCAACACAAGACTCATATATCCTGCTTCAATAAACATCACAGGTTCCATGTGTGTCTTTAGATAATACTTTTAAACAAAGGATTGTAACAATAGTTATGGCCAATTTGTAATGTTCATCTTAGGTTGCAGATTAATGAATTTATCTAATGTGATCAGTTGTCTCTATATCAGACTTGCCTATCCACTAGTTAATCATCATTAACTTACATAATTTTCAGTTCACCTTATACATGTATAATAAAACTTTTAAAACTGGAGATCGCCACTTTTTTGCTGAAAGCTGCCTAACTGACTAGGGTGTTAGATACAGAAGAGGATCTATACCAGGATCACAAAAAGAGCTGGCAGTATGTTCTAGCCCCAGAGTGTAAAGTCACTGCATATGCTTAATGTGAGACGTCAATGTGATACAGTTCCAAAATGTTACATTTTGGTGAGTGAGGACGGTACTGTGTAAGATTTTAAACAATATTCCAGGACACCAGAAATGGACTTCACACATTGTACCCATGTGGGGAATCGAACCTGGGACTTCGGCATGAGGAGCAGATGGTTTTAACCACTAGACTACCCCACAGTTTGGTGAAACAATTACAGTTACGGTTTTGACAATCTATTCATCATAAACAGTATAATCTGGGATTCAAAGCCATGTGACAGGATCATGGCATGCCAAAGGTAAGCAACTCTGCAAGTTATTTCAGTGCCTTAGATGACCAGGATAACCAGGAATAATCAGCCTCTCTTTTTATATATTTCGTAATGATTAAAAACCCCATAATAATAGGTCAGATTGGTCCTGTCAGATTAATTCCATTTTACAGATTCTCCAGGTGTTTTTTTAACAACCAACCACAAAGACCTCGGTATATCTGTCAAGTGTGTTTGTGACCTCTCCAGTGATCTCTCTCCCACAAGTACCTATCACAGACTGAATCTCACACAATGGAGTTTCCATGACTAGAAGCAAACATACAAAAACTATATCAATACATTAATGATTTCTACAAGGTGTTTCCCAGACTCACTCAAGTGGCTCCAGAAGAACAGGTTTGTGCATACAAGTA